ATCTCCCCGAAATCTATACCACGGTCAGTGGCGTAGCCAGGATTATGAAATGGGGGGTGTTTAAATATAGATTAAAACCAAGTTTTACAGTTTTCGTATATAAATAAATTTAGGGTTCGGGACTTGACTTGTTGCACTAAATATTATGATGCAGTCAAAGTTGTCAAAATATTCTTAAATATATACAGCTACATTTTTATATTATTTTTGAAAAATTCATAAAACATACTACAATTTTGGTAATAAAAAACTAAAAATAAGTAGGTATATAAATAATTTATACACGGGCTTACTAATTTTAATATAGGTAGGTACCTATATTGATTAATGTGATGGACGGATTACACTATTGCATGTTTTGGACATATTTTTTAAACTATTGTGGAATAAAACAACTTGATTTTTAAAAATACTGGCATAAAATACTAGGTTAATAAATATGTAATAACGAATAACGTGATATGCGAACATCGTGATAAACGAACACGTATCTACTGATTTTCATTTCTTCGTACAATTTAGAATGTATATATCAATTATAGTTTTAACACAGTCTTGTCACAAAGTTAGAGACTTATACAATTTTACATACCATAGTTATGCTAAAATAGGGCAAACCGTATAGCCAAGCTCCACCAACAACTTTAACAGCCCTCCCAATCATTTACTAAATTTTTTAATTCAATTTTATAATAAGTAGTATGGTTTTAGGCTTCGGCCTCCCCAAATCTCAAAATTAACCTATTAAACTAACCTATTGTACCTAACCAAACATAATATCTTTAAAGATGTTATCCAAATATGATTTTTCCCGACAATTGTATGTACCTATATTTAAGTTAGAAAAATGCAAAATATGCATAAATATGCGAAAAATCGCTCAAAAGTACATTTTTCCTAAAATATGCAAATTCAAACTTTGTTTGATCAAACATTTAAAATATTTCATAAGACAAATTTATAACTTATCTAAAATAATGCGAGCAGTCTCAAACCCTATAAACAATATTTTTATTAGGGAGGAAAATGTCAATGGGGGGTGTTTGAACACCCAAAACCCCCCCTGGCTACGCCACTGACCACGGTCCTTGCAAAACATTTTGTTACGTCTTATATTCATAGTATTTTAACCTCCATGCGTGACGCTTAAAATAAATAAAACCGAATCGTTTCTTTCTTGAAATATTGTTGTCGTAGAATATTATAGTCTAGTTGTTGCATCATAGATCCCTGTACTAGGTACCTTGGCCGTGATCGACGAATGAAGAGGCGTATGACAAAAAATAGTATATGTGTGGATCGTGCGGGAAGGCAATTTCCGCCCTTGCCACACAATAATACACTATTTCGATGCTTACTATTCAGTTACAGGAGCAGCTACTATGGTAAGTTTACTCTGGAGTTATAAGTTTAGACAATAATATAAGCAGCCAGCAGGTATTACGCCTGCTAGTACGACCATATGGTTATATGTGCAGATAGTATATTAAAATATACGTCTGCTAGGTACGTGCCTAAGTCTTAAAAAGTAACTTTTGAAATCTGAACCGTAATCGTATTACGCACTTCTCTCGTCTTTGTTTAGACTTTAAGTTTTTTAGAGAAATTATTATACGACGGTGGGGATAGAAATTTTTTTTTTTTTAGATGTTCTATACCTTAGTTATACCTAAATAGTGGTTGGAAACCATTTTGAATCGGACAGAAATCTCGTGCATTAATATCACCAAAATAATAATTATCAGTTTTATTATTGACAATCTACACCTGATAAGAACCGTTTTGTTATTAATATAATTGTTTATACGACGACTGCAACCGTGCAAGTACAGTCAACTATATACTGGTACAACTATACTGGTTCCATGTCATAATATCTTCGAAATAATATCTTCGGTCAAAATATCTTGATCAAAATATCTTTTGTGAAAATATCTTATGACAAAAATGTATTCGGTTAAAATATCTTTTAAACTGATTTTTTAAAAATGTTTATTCATATTATTTATTTATTTTATTTATATAAATATATCGTGTACCTACAACATTATTTATAATAATTGTTTAATAATATAGTATTAGTAATTAGTATGATCCTTATAAAAATATTATTGTAAAAAAAAACATAGAAAAAATTATAGTTGAAAAATTACTATAAAAAAGGTGGGCAAGTGGGTGTCGCTCTGCTGTACAGTAGGTTACAAGTGGGTCATTGTATAATGGATGGTATTAAATTTGAATTCAATGATATAATATCATTGTATAAGAAAAACGATTCTGAGCGGAGACGGTATGTCAGTCTATGTATAAGACATATTATATACATAACAAATTCCAAATTAATCATATCACAATATCCATTAGGTACTTATAACGCGTTATACACCAACAACAAACCCTAATACTATCATAGATATATATAGTAGATTACTTTAGAAATTTCAAGTACCCACGAATAATATTATACAATCACAACAAAATAACTAAAATCGTAATTCTTGGTTTAAATATGAAATTTTGTCTAAATTTGAAATTAAAATGTCTGTAAAAAATAAGTGTGTTTATATATTTTTTAGATTTTTTGGTTACAGTATGAATTATTTAAGAGAATCTTTGTTTTAAATTTTCAACTCTTAGTTATAAAAACTGAACATTTTATAATTTTTTAATTCCAACGATTGATAATTTTCGAGATTTTGATAAATTTTGTCAAAATTCCAACTTTAAATGCTTATAAAAAAAATCGTGCCTATGTATTTTTAATATTTTTCAACTGATATTGTAACAATATATCAGGAGTCTTGTATTAAATTTTTACACTTTTTGGCCCAACAGATAAAACTTTATTGATATTTATAGAAAAAAAAACTAAAAAAAATTGAAAGCTGTAAATGTCCATAAACAGCTCAAAAAGAGTCAAAATATTTTCAAAATTGTATGGTGTATAGGAAATGCTAATATAAACATTCAGTGAAATTTTCATGTATCTACAGTTATTCGTTTTTGAATTACAACAAAATAAGGAAATCGCTACATGAGAAATCGAGTGAAAATCCAATGTTGTAAAAATTTTAATTTCAAACGCTCATAAAAATTTAATTTGACTGTCCGGTAGAGATTTTTTTATTGATAAAGGTAGATAATCTTATAAGGAATCTTGTGTTTCATTTTCAAATCTTAGATTTAAAAAGAAAAATTTTTACGAATTCTTAACTCAAAATAATTTGCTAATTTTCGTGATTTTTCCATATTTTGTCAATTTTTGAACTTTAAATGCTTATAAAAAAAAATTGTGACTAAGGATTTTTAATATTTTTCATCTGCCTTTGAAACAACATATTAGGAGCCTTCTATTAAATTTTCAAGCTTTCGCAACCAATAAATAAAATTTTATTGATATTTTTAGAAAAAAAACTAAAAAAAAATGGAAAATGAAAATGTCCCTAAACAGTTCAAAATAAATCAAAATATTTTGAAAATGTTATCGTGTATAGAAAATGCAAATATAAACAACCAGTGAAAATTTCATGTATATACGTTCATTTGTTTTAGAGTTACACCAATAACCAAAATCGATTTTTTGGAAAACCAATTTTGCGTAAAAATTCCCGTTTTTCCTTAATTTTTATGTTGTTTTTCCCGGCGCTTGTGAAAACTACTGGGAAATTTATACTTTTGACCCCCCCAAAGTACCAACTAGATTCACTTTCCTATCAGAAAAGCTACTGATGAAGAAAATCCAAGCACTTTTACTGTCCTAAAACGTGATGACAGACACAAAAATATAAATAAAAATATAAAAACATACATCATTGTAAAACCAATACATTCATCGCTCCGCTCAGAATCTAAAACTATTTGTAATTAAATAAATAAATTAAATAATATGAAATATATAAATACCACTTGTAACACTTTGCTCACAATACATACCGCCAGAGGTCTTCCGACGTATATTTGAGTATATAGAGATTAATTGATTACATGAATATAAATTAAAAAATTAGCTTAAAAAATATTTTGACTTAAGACATTTTTGCCGTAAGATATTTTGACTAAGTTTTTTTGACTAAAGATATTATTTCGAAGATATTTTGACCGGTCACCCAACTATATCTGTTGAGCAAATAACTATAAACTGAGTCGTATTCATTTTTTTATTAAATTAAATTAATGTTTAATATTACATTTTTAGGCTAGCAGAAATAGAGAAGAAACCAGCTCTTCGCCGACAAAATGCATTTTCGTTTACTTAAATAAGCGCAGAAATGTTCAACTAACAATATCGACTTAAGTATACCCGCGCTACAATAAACACCCATATAATAATTATTAATAAAAGGTAGGTAAATAACGTTTTTGAGCGTTCGAAACCAAAATAACATATTTACATATTACTACAACGATAAGTCGTATTAAGGGCCCCTCAATAATAATAAAATATAATATGGGTGTACCTACTATAATTATAATAATTTTATTTTAACGCTATTCCAATAAAAAAATAAGTTATTACCATTATTATTAAGCATGCAGGCAAGTATAGTTTCGACGGAGCGGGTCGTCCACTGAAAACCCGCGTACTCGTGCTCTCCACACCCCCCCCCCCCCACACCCCTCCACACGGTTTTTGAATAACATAATAGGTATAATAGTCACCATCGTCCGCGGTCGTCGTGCGACGTACCGATGACGGCTGCGTCGACGTCATAGAATAATAATACAAAATAATAATCAGCTGGTACCTACCTTATAATTATCTCACCTCCATGGCGGCACATCGGTATCGCGTTCCGGACCGGCAAAACGGCCCACATCGCATTCATTAACACATCGCTTTTAATAATAATAATAATATTATAATGTCATATAATATTGTTTCCGTCCAACCGTTGCAGTCTTCCCGTTACGGGAGGTTATATGGACCTACTGAATTCGACGACATCGAGGCCCCTTGGAATTTACCGAGTTTTGAGCAAACCGCGTCCGGACTTTGAACGATGAAGACCTCCGCCGCCGTTGCGTTCGCGTTCTGCTGCGGTTCGCTGTTTCAGTTGATGCAAGTCTGCTGCTCCGTGCGTCCGGTCGGCATTTACCAGGTTAGACGACATTCGGGTATTGCCTCACCACTCCCCCCCCCCAACCATCTTATAGATTTTGACCGAGGTGGTTAAAAAAACTATTTATAATTTTTTTTTTTTTCCAGGCTTTTAATTTGAATTGTTCACAGATTATTGTCGAAAACCCGTATTTAAGTATATTTTATTTATATTGATTTTCCACTTAGATACTTAAATTATGATAGGTACTAGCATTTTTAACATGATAAAATATCCTTGACGTGACCATGTGTAGTCAGTTAAGTCGTTTAAATATGAAAAAAATATAATACCTATGTATCATTTTTGAAATATTTGAGTTATCTTACTGAAGTTACCTTCTGCAAATTTACAATTTTAGGAACATAGTATAATAGTAAATATATTGTATGTAACGTTTTTCAACTTAGGCTATGGAAATGAAAATCGAATTAATAAATTTAATTTACCGTCGATAACTATAATATGATATGACTAGGTATACAATATATTATCAGGTAGTATATTTTTCGTTTTCATCATTACAACTGTCAATAGAATAAACATCAATTGATTGCGCATTTTTATTAAACACTTAAATGCACAATATTTAACGTATGTTTACAAGTGTGAAACCATTCCGTACTTGGAAAATTTTATTATTATTGAGCACTTGTCAATAAACATCGAGACTGGACGATTACGATATTACATATTGTAAAAAAACTAAAAAAGTTTATTTAGGAAGGTCTTTTTTTTTTTTTAAACAAATAATATCACGGTGTGTAGCAACTGTTTGCGTTCTATATGAAAAATGTAATCATAAAATAAAAATTAATATTAATAATAAATTGATTTATATATAGTATGATAGTGAAAGTAAAAATAAAGTGTTTATAATATTATAGTATCATGGTTTATTAATTGAAACTGTTAGCATAGTATTTTTACGACGACAAACATAGAAAAACAAAAAGTAAAGTAATTAATTGGTATATAATTACTAATTATGTACCTACATAATCATATATACCTAAAGCTATATAAATTAATAAAAACAACTTCTATTATATATTATATACCTACTTAATCATAATAATATAGTTTGTCATCTCAAAGCCAGTACCTGCAATAATGTCACGTATTTAAATGTCTCAAATATCACACCTTCTCTGTGAAATTTTGATGTAGGTACTTGAAATCGTTGTGCATATTTTAGTTCTAGAGATATAAGAACATAAATGTGTAAAACTGTTTCTATTCACCCAATTTAAACGTACTCGTTTAATGTGTATTACAAGCATTAAATTTCCTTATATTTTCTGAACATTTTATATGATCTGAAAATGTAATATCCTATGTACGATATTTGTTTTTAATATAATAGTGATAATAATCATTGAGATATCGGGGCGAGGGAAAAGGTGTTTGTAACTGTTATTGTCTTAAAATCGTTTGGCTTAAAATAAAGTTTTCACATTCGCTTGACCATTAAACTTGGAATGTAATAATATAATTTGCCTGTGTTGTAAAATGAACAATTTTCCATTCCGAGTGGTATGAGGGAGAACTTTACTATAATATTGGTATATAAAATATAGATATTTATGTACAGAGTGATTTTCTATAAGCATGTTCACTCCCATTTTTTTCCTCGAATTATTCAAATTCTATAAGTTTTGGAAATTATTTATGTTAATGACCATAAATATTTTCAATTATTTAGATTTATAATACCATTTTAAATTAGTTTGGTTTGTGGCTGTACAAACTTCTTTTTTTTAAATAAAAACCAATATTTTTTCTGGAAATAGCAAAGCAGATTATTTTTTGCAATTTTTATTATATCTAAAACAATTTCGAACGAGGAGTTTTCAAGTTATTCAAATTTATTTATATTAAGGATAAAGTCTTTAAAATTTTACCTAGTACAAAGAACATAGATTTTAGATCTGTATGTATTAAACTTAGACAGTTTTTACAAATTGTAAAATGGTGGACAATGATTATATTTTATACTGTTTTTTTATTGTTCAATTTCATAGTTTTTTAATTAATAAAGGTTTTTTAATTATTTCTTTAAGTAGCTTAAATTGTCCACTGTACTCATAAGTCATAATCCTATATTATCATATCATATCATCCAAACTCATTATAAGGGAGCTCGAGATAATTCTTTTAAAATAGTTATCTGCTTAACATTTTACAAGAAAAAGTGGTAATTCTCATTAGAAAAAATTTTGGTACCTATAACCTAACCTCTAACTCCAGAATTCGAATAAATGAGGGAAATGGGAGGCTGAAACAAATGGTTTTAAATCTATAATAATTTTACATTACATAATATTATATACGTTTTTACCACAGCCATCATATTATCTCCCCGTATCGTCATTGGTGTATATATGATATATACCGGAATATATACCGTATGTTATAGGTAAGGCCGATGAGTCTGAGCATTGATCTATAAATAATAATAATTTGCTACGTTTGTTCGGCAATTATAAATTAAACTAGTTCACTGCAGTCTCTCTCGTTCGTCAGTTTTGATATTATTATCCATCCCCGACAGTTAAACGTATTATACGTGATTATGTAACAGAGCAAAAATAATAGAGAGCATCAAATTATTATATAATTATTATAGGTACCGAGTTCCACACACCAGATAAAATTCCCACACCGGAAGTTATATGTCTACGTATTATTGATAATCCGATTTTGCGCCAGATGGGTATTTTCTCCAATTAAAATCACAGTCAAAATAATTACCACTCAGTCGTGCCAATTAAAAATTATACAATATAGCACCCACATCGCATGGTGGTGATGAGACGCAATAGGTTTATCACGGTCAATACTTCGTTTCTATTGAGAATAGAATGCCATAATAATGTAACAGATGACCAACTAAACAAAATGGTTTTTTGAAGCAGTAGTAGAAGATAAGCCCACGAATCTACAATCTTTTTTTTTCCATGTATAACCACTACATGAGAGCCGTACTGTTTGCACATTGCTTAGCCCTCATGCAGCATCGTTTATTTAAGAAAATATTTACATATTTGAGATCGGGCTCACATGGGGATTGGTACACTTTCCTCAGTGAGTACTGGTGTGTATGTGTGTACCAAGACCCCATGATGCCTCACAGTGATATATACAGTGGCCGAAGCCGCAATGGGAATAACCGGGACAGACCCCGCTTTATCCCCTCTCATGTCCATTAGTTTTTAATTTTTTTTAAATATTTGCCTTTAGGTGTCTTCTCGGGCTGGCCTGAGCCCGCTGCCCTAGACATCTCGTGCGTGATATCCTCTTCAGACCGACAACCTGGGATTCCCACTATGGGCCTCCTCTTCTTGAGCCGGCCGGAGCCCGTCAGCTCATCCGTCATTTGCAGCGTCTGCGGCCTGACGAGCCCTCTCCTCAATTTCCTTCAACGTCAGGTTGCCTTCTACCATTTTGTAGAAGAGCCTGAACGTTTCTTCCGCGTTGCGTAGGATAACCGCCTGCTCCTGGTGACAACGAATCTACAATCTACATAATAACATTTCACCATCGAGGTTATAGTGGTAAACTAATCAGGGGGAAGGACAGTAGAGTACATGATAATGAAACCGTCACTCAAGAATGTACGAAAAATCATTTTTTTTCATTCATAAAGCATAATATCCTAGTTATATTTTCAACGCATACATTAAGGATAATTGAGACAAACTTTCATCAATTAAAGCACCCTTTTTAATCACAATTCTCCAGCCAAGCCCTCGGAGATGGTTTGATTAATAAAAAGCATATAGAATACGTGTCAGAATGAATAAAATGCGTTTTATATAATACATAATATATAAATAATGAGTTCCCGAGCAAGGATAATACATAAATCCATTTTACGATTTATGCTCAGTCCACGCGATGCCGTCGAAAATATATGTACGAAACGTTTTACAAAAAAATTATATTTCTACAAAGGGAACTGCAAAAAAAAACTCAACACCGCTTCAACTACATTGCGAATACATACTTGCGCATATGTATATAATATTATATAATAATAACGGATAAGACAGTTTTAAAATAAATATAGTCATTATTGTTATTGCGTAACGTTTTCTTCGATCGCAATATTAATAATAATAATAATAATAATAATAATAATAATAATATTATTATTATCTAATAACGTTTATAAAAAAAAATAAAACTTGACAAACTATATTATTGTAACAATGGTATAAAGCAGATAGATAAAATAACTGAACGATAAATTACATATTACTCGTCCTCCTACTCGTTTGTTTTGCCAAACGTTTTCAATGTCGATTTCATATTTTTATCTTTCGTCCGTAGATGTATTCGCTCGAGAAGTCTAAGTAAATAAGTAATATATATTGGTATAACTTACAGCATATATAAAATTATCTATTGCGCCAACTCCTAAATATTTTTGACCAACAGCCAGAACCACCACCGAGTGTAGTTGTACCTCAGATTGTTGAGGGTGAACATTAAAATTAAACGATAAGCAAGTGTTAATCAATTTTATTTTTATACATACGAATATAATAAAATATGTAGGTATTGATATAAGTATATAACTAATATGAAGTTTTATTCAAAAATATACAATACAACTATATAGGTACTAGGTAGCCGACTTTCTATACTGGGTATGTAATGTTTTAAGTCCACGGGAAATGGCTGACTTTTCTTATCAAAGAGGTCCGTGTTTTTTTATAATTTCGTAATTGATAAGAACCGATTAGAATTCCAATTTATTTATTTATTGTGATTATTGTCATAACTCATACCACATAACAGTGAACACTGACTTCTGTGATTACAAAAGTCAGCCATTTTACTGCTTCAATATTACCTAAAGCCAAGTCTGCTATTCAGTTGCATTATATATCTGTGGTTATATCAGACTATAACGGATCGTGTATACTACCGTGTTGTTTCTTTTGACACACATTATTTAAAAAGTATTAATGTTTTTGAAAATATTTTTTTACATGTTTTCAAGTCGTTTCAAGTTTTTCTCGTTACAAGACAATATGTTTTAACTAGAAAATTATATTTTTTAAATATTTTTTATCCTTATAATTGTTTAATTTTTTTACTTTGTTGAATTACCATCATGAGAGTTTTCAGTTTTGAGCAGCTCACTATAAATAATTACAGTCTGTATATGGATTTATTGATTTATTGGATTTTTGAATTCTATGATATGACCATGAAGATTAAAGATAAGGAGCTTGCACTAGCTGATAAAACTTTACCACGATTTTTGCGGGATAATAAAAGGTACACGGAATCGCCACCAAGTTGCGCGTTGTTCGATAGTTCTACTAGAAAATGAATTGTTTGAGACAACAATACACTATACAATTTTTTGCTGGTATGTTAAAAATAAATAATGCTACAAAAGTTGTAGGTATAAAATATACCATGATTTTTATCTGTAAAAATCAAAAGAGTACTGTGTAATACATGTCAACTCTGGTATATATAATAAGTATGTTAAATTAAAAATGAATTATCTTTGGTTTAAAAACGGATTCATTTTTGACTCCATTTTTTTTTTGTTTTCCAATCTGATTTTTGGATAGCCAGATATACAAAAGCCAGATACAAAACAACTCATTTTAATAAATATTAGGTACCTACCTACGCTTATATTTTATATTTGATATTTAAAAAATTAAAATTTAATAACTATTTTGAATATCTTTTATCATATTAATAACAATACCTAGGTACTTATCTATAAACATAAACAATATTTCAAATTCTAGCTGAACCATAGACATAATACGTTTTATTACGTCTATGAGTTGAACTATCGAACGCCGCGCAACCTGGTGGTAATATCACTAACCTTATTTCGTGCGGACGAAAACTGGTCTGTTTTATTTACGAGTGTCAATGGGAGTGCGATCTCCTTATCTTTAATCTTCATGGATATGATATTCTAAGCGAAAAATATAGCCTCAACATGTCTAAGAAAATGTGGGTAGGTACATTATATTATAACTTTTAATTAAGCTATAGTGACTTATTAACTCAGAAGGTATTTTTGTGGTATGTGTGTTTTTTTCATTTCGTTTTGGAACATTAAATTCGATTTTCGAAGTTAACAAAAATTACTGTGAAAAGGCTGGGAACAACGGTTTTTAGAAAAATTGATTTGGTTCTTATTGTTGTAGTTCAGAAGGGTATAACCATATAGAGAACTTCATTTTCATCAGATTTTAGATTTAGATTTTCTAACCATGATCAAGCCTGGATTGAGGAGGGGTCCAGGGGGCTCCAGGGCCTCGAAAATTAGAATTTATTTGGGCGCCTCAGATTTGTCCATCTTTTTTTTCGTTATAGGCTATAAAACTACATAAATCAAATAAAAAAAAAATCGATGATTGTTTAGCGAGGCAAAGAGCTTGTAAATTATAATTTATGAATGAAGTGATACATTATTCATTATTTATTGCTATGTACCTAATTCCTATGTATATTTATTAAAATAGGTACCCACAATATACATTTTTTTTTCGTACCCCTCTTTTAAAACTTTGCCCCTGGGTCTCAAAATATCTTAATCCCGGCTTGATCATTATAAATATAATTTTAAAAATATATTCTTTTACAAGATCTAACAATTTCCTGTCAGAAAAAAATCTTCTCTTTTTAAGACATATGAGCATTTTTCTACTAAAAAGTTTCTTCAGAAAAAAAGTTCCAGAATCTAAAAAACGTAAAATAAACGTTTTAGTGTACCTAAATATTATATTGTTATGTTGTAACAGCGTAAAACACGCTTCGTCTAACTCAAATTTGACTTTTTTTTTTATTAGAGTTTCCTACTCGTAAATTATGTATACTCAAATAATACTTGATATAAAATTAATATGGCACACAAAAATGTAAAAATCCGGTGAACGGGTTACTTTTTTTTTAAAAGATTGTTTGGACTGTTATAGCTTGAAACATTTTATTAATACATTTTTTTTTTTTTGTGATTTCACTTATTTGCAAACGTGAGGCATGACGATATTATTATTATTATTATTTTTGTTATTATTGGATTATCATTCCAAAGTGTATTGTACAGCGATACGAGTTTCAATTTTTCGTGGCCCCTATGATAAACATGCGTAAGAATTCTAAATTATTCTAAAAAGTTTTTGTTCGATCAGATGACCACGTGTGACATTTTATTTACACGCTATATTTTAATAACATCATATAATTTCCTACAAATTTATTTTACATATGGATTGCATTTAACTAAAAAAAATAATATTTTTATCGAACAACAATATTACAGTTTTCGCAAGAAACATAGGTATACCTAGTATAATAATTTGTATTTATTTAATAAACAGTATAATTTGATATGTCAAACGAATAATTCTGGAGCAGTAACTCGTTATTCCCAACTCTTTCGGAGAAACAACAATAAAATAGATCATAAATTCAAATCATTAAATTGTTTTGAAATATTCGCAAAATTCCGTGGACCTATAAAAAGTCCATTTTTTATCGGTGATAACATTTTTGTGAGGAAGTAACTTGAGTTCAGCTTTACCTATTTCTGGAAATACTTTCAAAATTCTGAAAGTTGTGTAATCTCCTATTCAAATCCAAATGTTGGTATTGTGGTGGATGATGTCTTGTTGTAGCAATTGTTCTGGGTGACCATTTCAAATTATCCCTTTTATTACCACAAAAAATAATTAAGAAAATATATGATAACTCCATTAATATTAAACCATATACCTTATTATACTAATAGACAAGAAGCCCATATTTCTATATACCTAGTGTAGTAGGTATGTCTGTGACAAGAAGTGATTTAACACCATAGATAATAAAGAAATGGATAGACCACGGCTATGTTAAATATATTTGAGGCCGTGGTCCTGGAGGGGGAGGCAATTTAGGTCATTTTATATTGATAGTCAATACTCGATATTGGTATACTAATTATTTGGACTCACTTGATTACCGCCGATAAGACCGTTATATATGTTTCATATATTCTGTGATATTATAATCTGTGTATACCAATGGTAAAATTATTTAAGACTTATAACATGGTTAATTTACATACCGCACCAAGTGCTTACGAATTTCAACCTTTTCAACGTTTCAAACGTTGGCGTTCGTACTGCAAAATTGTTTCCAAAAGAAAGAACGCGTTAATTTACTACACCAGTACGTGGTAAGTCCGAGACAGGCGGCCGACCATCATCTGAGAATGTTTTAGTCCCACTGAACTCTACACAGTTCAGTGTTTAGCCCCAATGAAAAGGCAACAACTCGCTCATTCTCCCACGGAATACTAACACATTTTTATAATATACTATAAAATAATTTGTTTTTATTTTCACTCACACAGGGCTTACACGATGCGATGACTGTAGACGAGCTGAACTATTACTTCGGAGTGTCGGATCCAGAGGACGCACCCGAGTACGAGGTGGTCATGTTATCCGATCCCGCAAACCGACCGGATTGCACTTTTTTTGCTTTTGGCAGGTAGGTACCCTACATATTATACAATATAATTATCACTGTGTTATTATTGAGTTCAACGAGTATATTATTAGGGTTCCGTATCAAAAAACATAACCCTATTATAGATTCGTCATGTCTTTCTGTCTGTCCGTCGTATTCTATGAACTGCATTAATATTTTTACACAAAAATAGAAAAAAAAAATAAATACATTTTGGGGGTTGCCTATACTTAGAACTGAAACTCAAATTTTTTTTTCATCCAACCCATACGTGTGGGGTATCTGTGGATAGGTCTTCACAAATGATATTGAGGTTTCCTATATAATTTTTTTTAATAAGTAAATAAGTAAATAAGTAAATAATAATAATAATAATAATAATAATAATAATAATAATAATAGTAATATATATATAATATAATATATCTATTTTGTCATGTATATATTTAAAAATGTAATCTTAATCACGGGCCAAGATAGACTAAGATCGGCTATAATTCCATAATGGACTGAAACTTGGTATAAGACTTCTGATGGACCTGGTGGTGGGGCCAAAGTTCGTGCCGACCGAACGAAACGACATGTTATTTATGTTACTTGCTGCTACGGAACCCTTCATGTTCAAGTCCGACTCGCACTTGGCCGCTTTTTTTTAATTTTATTTATGATAAACAAAATATTATTATGATCTGACTACATATTTTTATCAGATATACCCGTGAACAAGTTAATATTTGTATATTTCCATTTCACTTTATAAAATATATAACCTACTTCACAAAAAAGTCTAGAATAAAGATACAAACTTTGATTCTAAAAAACGCACTCTTTTTTGGACGTTTTCAAAAGCGGACTATAGTTAAAAAGTTGCTCTGCTGTACAGTAGGTTACAAGTGGGTCACTGTATAATTGATGGTATTAAATTTGAATTCAATGATATAATATCATTGTATAAGAAAAACGATTCTGAGCGGAGACGGTATGTCAGTCTAGGAATAAGACATATTATATACATATCTATGGTACTAAACCAAAATTTGACCTATAATAGGTACCTATAATAAATTCCAAATTAATCATATCACAATATCCATTATTTACTTATAAGCGTTATACATCAACAAAAACCGTGATACTATCATAGATATATAATAGTACACTTTAGAAGTTTTAAGTACCCACGAATAATATTATTCAATCACAACAAAATAACTAAAATAGTTATTCTAGGTTTTTTAATATGTAATTTCGTCCAAATTTGAATTTAAAATGTCTGTAAAAAAAAAACTGTGTTTATGTATTTTTTAGATTTTTTGGTAATAGAAAAAACTACTTACGTGAAATCTTGTTTTAAATTTTCAATCCTTAGATATAAAAGTTGAACATTTTATAAATTTTTAACTACAAAATAATTTTTCAATTTTAAATTTGATAAGTTTTGTCAAAATTTGATCTTTAAATGCTTATAAAAAGATTGTGCCTATGTATTTTTAATATTTTTCAGCTGATATTGTAAAAATATAACAGGAGCCTTGTATTAAATTTTTATACTTTTTGGCCCAATAGATAAAACTTTATTGATATTTATAGAAAAAAAAACTAAAAAAAAAAGGTGGGTAAGTGGATGTCGCTCTGCTGTACAGTAGGTTACAAGTGGGTCACTGTATAATGGATGGTATTAAATTTGAATTCAATGATACAATATCATTGTATAAGAAAAACGATTCTGAGCGAAGATGGTATGTCAGTCTAGGTTTAAGACAAATTATATACATATCTATGGTATTAAAAAAAAAATTGACCTATAATAAATTCCAAATTAATCATATCACATTATCACAATATCCATTAGGTAGGTACTTATAACACGTTATACATCAACGTCAATAACAAACCCTGATTCTATCATAGATATATAATAGTACACTTTAGAAGTTTCAAGTAGGTACCCACGGGCCACGAATAATATTATATTATCACAACAAAATAACTAGGTTTTTTAATATGTAATTTCGTCCAAATTTGAACATAAAATGACTATAAAAATAAACTGTGCTTGTGTATTTTTTTAGATTTTTTGGTAACAGAATTAACTACTTACATGGAATCTTGTTTTAAAATTTCAATCCTTAGCTATAAAAACTGAACATTTTATAATTTATTAATTACGGTGATTAATAATTTTCAAGATTTTGAAAAATTCTGTCAAAATTCGATGTTTAAATGCTTATAAAAAATAAATTGTGCCTATGTATTTATAATATTTTTCAACTGATATTATAATAATATATCAGGAGCCTTGTATTAAATTTTTACACTTTTTGGACCAACAGATAAAACTTTATTGATATTCATAGAAAAAAAAAACTAAAAAAATTTAAAAATGAAAATATCCGTAAACAGCTCAAAAAGAGTTAAAATATTTTCAAAATTGTATGGTGTGTAGGAAATGCTAATATAAACATTCAGTGCAATTTTCATGTTTCTTTAGTTATTAATTTATGAATAACAACAAAATAAGGAAATTGCTTTATGAGAAATCGCGAGTGAACATCCCATGTTGGAAAAATTTGAATTTCAAACGCTCATAAAAATTTAATTTGACTGTCCGGTAGAGATTTTTTTATTAATAAAGGTAGACAAACTTATGAGTAATCTTGTATTACATTTTAAAATCTTAGATTTAAAAAGAAAAATTTTTACGAATTCTTAACTCAAAATAATTTGCTAATTTTCGTGATTTTTCCATATTTTGTCAATTTTAGATTCTGAGCGGAGCAAGGAAGCTAGTGGTTTTACAATGGTGTTTATTTTTTTTTATTTTTTTTTTTTTTTTTATATCCTGTATACAAAATTTCTACCAGAAGGAGTGCTTTGATTTCAACATATAGTACCTTATCTTTTAGAAAATTGGACCAAGATGGTACTTTAGAGAGGTCATTTTTCGATTTTCTCAATAGTTATTTAATGCCACGGGAAAAAGTACTGAAAAATTACGAAAAACCGCTTAAAATGGGATTTTAATTTCTAACAATTTGTTTATCACCGTAGCAACGAATAAAAAAAAAAATAGGTAGGTATTATCTATATAAATATCATGTTTATAGTATTAAAACAACTTACATGTTATAATAATTAATGACAATATAAAATATACCGACTGACAAACCGTCTCCGTTCAGAATCGTTTTTCTTATACAATGATATTATATCATTGAATTCAAGTTTAATACAATCCATTAAACAATGACCAACTTGTAACCTACTGTACAGCTGAGCGACATCCACTTACCTGCCTTTTTGAACTTTAAATGCTTATAAAAAAAACTGTGACTAACGATTTTTAATATTTTTCATCTGCCTTTGAAACAATATACTAGGAGCCTTCTAATACATTTCCAAGTTTTTTTAACCAATAAAAAAAATTTTATTAATATTTCTAGAAAAAAAACTAAAAAGAATGGAAATTGAAAATGTTTCTAAACAGTTCAAAACAAATCATAATATTTTAAAAATTTTATAGAGCATAGAAAATGCAAATATAAACAACCAGTTAAAATGTCATGTATACATTCCACTTGTTTTAGAGTTACACCAAAAACCAAAATCGATTTTGTGGAAAACCGATTTTGCGTAAAAATTCCCGTTTTTCCTTAATTTGAATGTTGTTTTTCCCGGTGCTTGCTATTGGGGATTTTAAAATTTGACCTCCCTAAATCCTAATTCACCAACTAGATACACTTTCCCATCGAACAAGATACTGTTGAAGAAAATCGAAGCAGTTTTACTGCCTTAAACCGTGATGACAGTCACAAAAAAAAAAAGAAAAAAAAAAAACACATATCATTGTAAAATTAATACATTCATCGTTCCACTCAGAATATAAAAGGTACTGTAAAACTTTTTTTCTCAAAACAAAATAATCAACTCGTATATTTTAACTAAACCCGTTCCTTACTAGGTAATTTATAACAAATTGATTGTTTGTTATTTTTTTATTCGTTACAAATTTTAACCACACATAAACGAAAACTATTTGAGTAAAAAAAAAAATTTATAGTATTACCTACTCTATTTCTGACACCTTTATTTATATTGTGTTATTGAATATAAGTACAATTTATTTCACTGTTCGACGAATACATGATATAGTTGGGTACTTGGAGTACCAAAATTAACGTTCGATTTAATGAAAAATCTGGATGTATTCCATATATTTTATTCAATCAGTCATAAAACCGTGGATTGCACAAAGAGTAACTTCACACATCCCCCCTTCTCCTACCACCACTTCATATTTAATATAATATTATAATCACGTTATATTGAATAATGGAGATTTGTACAACAGTAGTCAGAACACATTAAACTATCAAGATTTAATGAGAGTCAAAAGTTATAAGGGGGCCGAACTAAAAACTATATGTGCTCTAAACATCTTTATTTAGGCCCGAAAATGGCTGAGCCTCGACGGGCAAGTACGTGCGATTTAAGTATAACGAGTAAACATCATAAGAGCGGAAAATTCCTCCACGAAGTGTACATAATAATAAAAATAATAATAATATGTAGGTACCATGTTTAAATGACGTGTGTGTGTGTGTGTTGTTGCATCGTCAGGCGTTGTACGACTATACGAGCGAGGGAAAAACGTCCGAGGCGAATTCAAGGAACCGGAACTAATGATCGAGCACGTTATATTACGTGGAGATACGTGCGTACATCACAGGGTGATTTATTTTAAGCAGCAACGAGCTCTTTTTCCCAGACGATTTTTTTTCACCTCTTAAAAAAACGTTTTACCCGATTCGTATTATACATCCCTCCCCCTGTACAATATTATAAAATATTATATCTTACGACAATTTTTAACGGCCTCGACGTGAAATTTTAATCACGTTTTCTTGAGCATTACTGCTGCTTAGTAGGTAAATTATAAATATATTGAATCAATAATACTATCATAATATCAATAAACCTAATATCAAAATAGTCTATGTCTTATCTGCCGAAACTCTCAA